AATTAGAGATTGGCCCACGCCACGTACGCTAACAGAGTTGCGCTCGTTCCTGGGCTTAGCAAATTACTACAGGAAGTTCGTGAGGAACTTCTCCACCATCGCTGCGCCCCTTCGCAGATTGCTGAGAAAAGAGACAATCTGGAAGTGGGACAAGGACTGCACGTCTGCGATGAAGAAATTAAAGCAGGCATTGATAGAGTATCCAGTCCTTAAGGTCGCTGATCTGTCCTTGCCTTTTGTCGTTACTACGGATGCTAGCCAGTACGGCATAGGCGCGGTGTTGCAGCAAGACAATGGCAATGGGTATAGACCCGTAGAGTTCATGTCCGCCAGAATGCCTTCAGAGAATGTCGCGACATCTACCTATGAGAGGGAACTCTACGCTCTCAGGCAAGCGTTAGACCACTGGAAGCACTACTTGCTTGGGAGGCACTTCAAAGTCTATTCTGACCATGAAACATTACGATGGTTAAAGACGCAGGCCAAGATGACACCTAAGCTTACTAGGTGGGCCGCAGAGATAGATCAGTACGACTTTGAGCTCAAGCCTGTCAAAGGGAAGTATAACGTAGTTGCGGACGCTCTGAGTAGAAGAGTTGATTACTTCGGGGCAATAGTGCACTACCTCGATATAGGGAAGGACCAACAACAGAAGGTCAGAGAAGCTTACGCGCAGGACCCTATCTATAGTGAGCTCCTTAAGAAAGTCAAGGAGGCCCCGGAGACTGAGCCGAATTACCGCACTACTGAAGGGTTGCAGACTCGACTTCTTCCCACTTATCATGCACACAAACAGCGAAACAGCAAACTGGCGACATGCGCCCACACAGTACTCAAAGATATTAACCAGGTAGGAGTTCTCTTCAAACTGGCTATGGCGACTGAGCGCCCACACCACTCACTGTTCGCACTCTGGATCACCCTGGATGTCCCACACGCAACACTCAGTGTTCATACACAACACACACACACTAGGTTATGGCTATGGCAGCGCTAGCTGCCACTACCCTATCGCTACACTACACTTCACTGCCCACTTCGTCTTCGGGCACACTGCAGACCTCCTCGCACAAGCTGCTGAGGCAGCGCTTCCGCATGGCTTCCGCAAGAATGAATGAATGGCTGGACGCAGCCTCTTGATTTATACTTCTGCGCTGCGTTGGTCTGCCCTGTATCCCTTGGCCCACGATGTGCACAGTCCCAGACGGTACTTGCTTGACTAGACCGGACTGGGCTACCTGGGACTGCTGACTGGGCTAGGTGGACTACCACCACTTGACCACTTGCCTCTGCTGAACACAGGCCAACTCCGAAAGGCCAGTTCTAGAAACCTCTACGTTGGCCCTTCGGTACTGTAGCAGCTACGACTTTGCCCTTTCAGGTAAGTAGCAGCTAHRACCTTGACTCCTCAAGCAGCCTACAGCTACCACTTCGGAACTGTCTAGACTCCTAATCTATAGGTCTACAGTCCGATTCCCTTCTACCCTGTGACCTACGACAAATTGCCTACCATTGGCGTTCCTACAGGTCGCARGTTCAAGTCTACGGGTTGACACTGATACTGTACACAGGTAAGACGGGGATCTAGGGATCGAACCCTGGGATCTGCATTCGCTCCCGCGAACTGGTGAATACCGTTTCACTCCCGCCGGCCTAAATTCGAGGTCCTCCGAGAAAATTTCAGTCCACGACAGGACCTTTACCTTTCTACTGTCTTTCGTAAGCCCGGATTATATCGGGAGCTGTCTCTAGAAGTTCAGATCTTGTAAACCAGCGGTCGTCTTCCGGTTCCTGATAACTAAAATGAACCTTGTATTGTTTTTGCGGACGACCCCTACCTCCAGTTCTGAAGACATCTTCAGCCACTATACCATCGATGTCATATCTTCCATCCATATCAGGTGGGATCATCGATCTACGGGATGGAAACTGATCACTTGTTTGACAAGGTAGCAACTTCGATGCGTGGAAAACTGGATACGTGTGGAGGTGTGCTGGTAGTTCTATTGTATAGGACGGTCCATCTTCGCCGCCCTTGACTTCCAGAACAGGCCACGGTCCTCTATATGTGGGCAGTAACTTCTGCGAGATGTTCTCCTCCGGCGCAAACTCTTTAGAACTAACCCAGACTAAGTCGCCTACTTGAAACTGCGAAGGGCGACGATGTTTGTTCGCTTGCTCTATCATCCTATGCTGGGCTTTTCTGAGGTTCTCTACGACAGTAGCTAGTTCTTTCTCGTGCTGCGCAACAAACTCCCTGGTCCCGGGTGGTAATCTGTGAATCTGATCCCGGTTGAGTCCCTCAAACGGTCTGCGCGGTCTAAAGGACTTGTGCAGTTCGTTGGGAGTGCGACATGTAGACAGATGCACGTTGCTATTGTACGCACTAGCTACTCTGGGCAACAACACCTCATCCCAGTTGATCTGGTCTGGTCTAATGTACATGCGCAGAACTTGCTGTAGGATCTTGTTCATCTGCTCGGTCTGACCGTTAGTCTCTGAATGACGGCCGGACGACATCAACAACCTAGATCCRTATACTCCCATGAGTTCTTGCCAATTCTGGCTGGTGAAGCGACTATCTCTATCGCTAACTATAGACAGCGGGATTCCATTCTCACTAACCCAACAGTCAAAAAACCTCTGTATGACTAAATCTATACGCGCCTCGGAAGGCAAAGGAACAAAAACTGCGTACTTACTAAAACGGTCAACTATGACCATGACTTGGCTCTTGCCATGCCTACTCTTGACTTGAGTGTCCATAAAGTCTATGGACACTGAGTCTCCCGGCTGATCCGGAATGGGCAAGGGTCTGAGAAGACCTAGCGGGGCACGTGTAGAACTCTTGTTATGCTGGCAGACTTTGCAAGTGCGAACATACTCTACGCAGTCATTCTTCATTCCTGGCCAGGTATACGCGCGCATTAGATTGGCTAAAGTCTTTTGCCAACCAAAATGACCCAATTCTGGTTGGAGTTTTATAGGAATGCGCGACTTGCGGAATTACTGGACCTAGTTCCAGTGGATTTTTTAAGGTTATTTTTTTTTCTTGGGATTTTTTTAGATAGCTTTTTTCTTTAAGATAGCTTATACCGAGGTTTTCTCATGGCTGCAGGTAGATGCAGACATAGGTATTTCAGGCCTGGTTTTTGAAGTGCTAGGCATTTGTTAGGTTTTCTTTTTGGAATGTTCTTGGGATTTTTGAGATAGCTTCTACTGAGGTATTCTCGTGACTAGACGTAGATGCAGACCTAGGTGTCTCGGTCCTTTCTTTCTTTCTTTCTTGCTTTTTAGTTCCTCTCTCCAGGAGAGGGGCTCCGCCTGCTGCGTGAGGCTGGAGAACTTGAAGCCCCTGAATCCGCAACTCTTTCATGCTATTTTGTAGTTTGCCTTGGACACTGGGCCCTTAAACCACCAGTACCTTTACCCACTTGAAAATAAAAGTCGCGTCAGTATATCCGGAAGCCAAGTGGGAAAGGGCCGGGAAAAGACCGCTGTTGATAAATTAAATTTCTTCGTCAGCCTGTTTTTCGTTTCTGGCTTCCGAAACTGCCTGCGGCCTTTTTTTTTAATAAAGGAGCAACCTTTATAAAACTGAGTCGGGAACCGGTCCGAGTGCCCCTCACAAACTTCGCCGCAGCTCTGAGGCTGAGCAAGGCTCTCCGGCCAAGCAAAGCCCAGCCCACAACTGAGGCCAAGATTTGTACTCCTTATTCTCATCTGGGTTCAGTCCCTCAACTAACTAGCAATATCCCTAAAACCAGAGCTAAACTTAGCTTACACAAAAGCTATAGAGTAGTATAGACACTACTATGGCACAAGCTATAGACACTACTATGGGCACTGATATGAGCACTCTAGGAGGACCGAACAAAAACCAATGGGAACAAAGCAACACCGAAAACACAAAACAATGGCCACTTTCACAAGTTTTGTACAACGAACTAACTATGTTACAAGAAAAAACCCTGAGAAGCGCAGATGGGGCGGTTGCCGTGGCAGACATTCAGCTGTGAACAGTCCCCGAAAACTCAGTCCAACATGTGTCGAAGTACTCCCTTGATTACCGCGAATATCCTTTCCGTTGAACTCGATACTCCCAGTCAGCCAAAATGGCTTGCTTGATGGCAAATTTTATTTCAGCTCAGACCATCGGTGGTGTCAACCTTTCCCCTCTCCTACCGTCTTTACCCGAATAGAACTCCCGATCATTATCGCTGTACTGGAAATTACAACAAATATGGCTGTAATGACCCGGCGTTCTATTTGGGTGAAGACGGTAGTCTCTGAGTTCCTCAAGTACCAAAGGGTCCACAATATGGCTCCTCTTAGTGTCTCTTCTGCATAATATGCATAGCGTCAGGAGAGAGGCATTTGTCTCGCTGCCGTTCCTAGCAGTAGAAAATGGTCGGTCCATCTTGAATCGTTACCAGGAAGGAACCGGGACATTCGTTTGTCGCCACCGATCCGAAAATGCCCGGGAGACATCCCAGCGCAACACAAAGTGTTGCACAAAAAAACTGTTGCAGATCCTCCATTCGAGTTCCTGGGCATGCTTTGGTTGTTCGCTTAGAGCACCAGAACGCCACAGGGACAGCCTGGTGCATTATTAGCCCGAGGAAACTGGCGTGCTTAACAACAACCAGGCCGAGGGGTGCTTTTCTCTTTGCTCTTCTCAGAGGCTATTTTCTGGTATTAAAAAACAAAAAAAACAAAAAAAAAAACTTGTCTGTAAAAGAGGGGGACGAAAAAGTACACGGAGTGGCTACAACCAACCAACCAACGCGCAAAAAAAGAGAACCAGAAGGGGACCCCGCGGGGAAGGAGTGGATAGAGGCAGGCCGGGAGATGCGCAAAGAGAAAAGCACCCCTCGGCAAATCACATCTGTTAAAATTGGAACGATACAGAAAAGCAAGGTTAGCAGCATGGTCCCTGAGCAAGTGCAAGGAAAGTAACGAAAAAAGAAGGAAAAGGGGAAGTTTTCCTGAAAAGGCCCGCCGCGGAGCAAAGGTTGTCAGGGCCGGATCCATGAGCACTTCCCCTGTAAGTAAGTGACCACTGCTGCCGTGTGCAGGTAGTCTTTCTGGCTGAGGGGGGTCCTTATGAACCGACTATGGCGTCGCCGCACTGGAGGGGTGCTGGTGCTGTTGCGGCTCAGCAAGGAGATGGACAAGGCCCTGCACCCAAAAAAAAAAAAAAAAAAGTCCCTGCTCCTGCATGCTGGTGAGGTGACGTCCTCCACTCGGTCGCTTGTGAATCCGCTGTCGTCGGGAGCAGTCGCTATTTATTGCTTACAGACAATCCGGCCTCGCTTGGCCGATTCGAGCCGGCACCAGATATAGAAGCATCAGGTGAGATCTCATCTGAACTGCTGGGTTGAAAAAGTGGTGTGAGTCAGGACATATAGTCGATGGGTGGGAGACATTAACGATGAGAGGAGGGGACCACCACTACCCTCCTCACCTGCACGGATGCCACCACCCAGAAGCGAAGAAGAGGAGGGAAGAAAATTCATTGGCGCGGATGAAAACAGAGTGGGCACCGTTTGGCGGGTGGGAAGGGGAATGGATATTCCAATTGCCAAGGGGTGTAAAAGATGCACATGGCCCTTTGAATCGACAGAGCCCACCTTTGGTGGGATTGTCCTGCATCCAAACGAATTTGGAGGTGGTGGGCTACTCACTGGAAGGACTTTGCAGCATGGAACTGGGATTGGAATAGAGATTGGGTCCTGTTGGGGTTAATTCCTCCTGCTGTGCATCCGCTGGAAGGGGTAGGCTATGTTGTGCAGGCTTGTAGGGCTATCATATGCTCTACGATTTGGGACATCAGAAACAGGGCAACATTTGAAGGAAAGGGCTTCTCTGACAGAGAAACCACAACCACTATCTGCTCTAAGCTAAGACAGTATATCAAGGCTGACTGGTACAGAAGAAACAACACGAGGCAGCCAGGAGGCAAAGGCCAAAGGTGCTTTCTCAGAACTTGGGGGGCAAGCAGAGGCTCCATGTGGTTGGCAACAGTCCGTTTGGTAGGTAAGCTGGTATTTTGTAACTGGTTGAAGCAATAGTAATAGTATTAGAGTAAATTTGATGTAGTTAGTTAATAAAACACAGGCGGTATATCGGTTCCCTTCAGCTGTGGTATAATTGTTTTGGGGCGAGTTCTTTAATTGCAGGTAATAACCAGGACACTCGGTTTAATTAGCGACAGGAGGCAGGCAGACTCTCTATGATGCAGACCAGCAATTTTGGGGCAAGTGGAAGGAGTGTCACAAAGGGGTAGGTGTCCAGCAGGCCGACTTTAGACCTGCGCTTTTAGCACTTTTTGGTTGACTGTTTTCGTTCGCTTCTTTTTTAGGAGATTTTTTAGAAGAGCAGAGAGCTCGAGATACAGAATCTGATAAGAGCAGAGGGCTCGATACAGGGTTCAAAATTTCAGTGGGGAACAGGTCCTGCAGTTGCCTAGATACGATGAACAGAAGCTGGTCCCGCCAGGGGCCCAGCTTACTCACCGGGTTGTTTGTTGAGGATTCCCACCCTCAGAGTTTTGCATGGCATGCTTTGAATAAAGCATCCTCTACCTTTTCCACCCAAAAAAAAAAAAAAAAAAAAAAAAAAAAAAAAACACAGTCAGATTACTGCCGACGAAAGATTGACTCTACCCAGTGGGCTAGGGAGAGAGCCGGGTTGGTTGGTTGGTTGGTTGGTTGGTGTTTACAATTTGCCGTACTATATATACACAGACTAGCGAGAGGAGAGTTAGATGAGTACTGGCAAGAATGTGGAACTTTGTTTGACTGACTTTGTGTACTCACACCAAGACACTCCATCATGCAAGAAGATGAGGATGAGATAGAAATGAGAGAAGAATATAGCTTTTACCTTTATTACAATATATAAAAAAAAAAGATTGACTCATCCGAAGCTCAACTGCTACACCCCCTCACCTGTCTAAATACAGACAGACCTGAGTTTGAACTCCACCTCAAAGCAACGAACGGGGTGTCGTCCATTTGACATTTGACATTTGACATTTGACATTTGACATTTGACATTTGACCGGGGCAGAAGACAGGAGGGCGGAAGATGATGAAACATAGTTTAAGAGAAGTATTAAAAAAAAAAAAAAAAAAAAAAAAAAGTTAAGGCCTCCGAAGACCAAGATCTTGGATGGGTACTCGGAATGAGGGGGAGGTGAGGAGGACGGGGCTCTTCCTTTCTCCCCTCCCCGACTGACTTGAATCTGAGGAATCCTGTGTCCGCTCCCAAGGTATGGAGTTTCTATTTTTAGAACCGTCACGTCCTTGTCCAAGCACTCATGCGCATTCAGCCGGAGCGTTGCTGGTGTGCGCATGCAGGCTACTTCCTATTGATGATCCTCCACTGGCAGGCATCAGATTACTGCAGAGAGACACGGCATGCTATCTCTTGTACAAGACCACCTTGAAGTTCGTGTATTACAATCCTCTCAGAGACTTGTCGTTATTGTCATTGTCTTGTGGCTCTGGGGTATCAACTTGTATGTCCTGGCCAACTCCAGAGTGAGCTTGTACGCTTTCTTTTCATTAAATTCATATAATCCAGACCGTTCAAAATCTTTGAGATTGATCGCGGCCACCTGGCACACCGAGAGAGAGATTTGAGATTTGGCAGGTCGACGGGTGGCTGTCGACCGACACTCCTACGGCAGCGCTGTGTGCAGCCTGCATGCATTTGTTATTCCTCGGTAATGAAGACCTGGCTGCTCTGCAGACGATCACGATGATACTAGTATATTGCGCAGCAATACCTATTGAACTTGCATTTTTCCATTCGACACGTTTCATAAAAGCTCGAGCCTTTTTTTTTTTTTCTTTTTTTTTTTTGAAAGATCAGCCAGGCGGAAGCTAGGGGTGCTCGAGACAATTTTCTTCTTGAAGACAGTTAGTTGTTCGCATTTAAATTTTGTCTTCCGTTCCAGGCAATCAGCTTTCCAGACTTCTTTATTCCTGATGATGTTAGGACATCAACGGCACGAGTTTTTTTTTTTTTTTTTTTTTTTTTTTTTAAGCACGAGTTTTTTTGGGAAATGAATAGAGGGTTTTGCTGGATGACGATGTCTGCTATAATATAAGGCACAGAGTCAATCAATACTCACAAGGATGCAGTTCAGCCGTGCAGCGATCAGACCTT